AAAAGGGAATAGAGGCCCTAATCAGATAGCTTGAAGATTCTGGGCCACGTGATATATGTACTTTAACAGCAGAAAACACAACAGAGTCTTTATTTAGACTGCTCAGCAAGAAAATGTCTTAATTTCTTAATCCTAATCTGATTTCCCAAGTAGGTTTTCCTATTGGTAAGAATTGACCAGAAACAACTCAGGTATTTCAGTATTTATATTTCTCAAGGTAAATTAGTAAGATAGAATTTTTATTTCTATGTCAATGTCTTGTGAATTTGGTTGTTATGAACTCATCATTCCTGATAAACTAATATACTCAAGTTTCAAAAAATGCAAAGCTGAGGAACAATGATGATATCATCAAACTACAGCTACCTGATAAAAGCCTTCCCAAAATACCCAACTTTGTCCTGATATTATATATATATATTCTACCTTTAGAAGTAAACAAGTATACACTTCCCAGATGTGAATATTATCTATCAGATCAATCATGCTCATTAAAGTGGTAACCTTGGGCTTCCCTGGTGACGCAGTGGTTGAGAGTCCGCCTGCCGACGCAGGGGATATGGGTTCGTGCCCCGGTCTGGGGGGATCCCACATGCCGCGGAGCAGCTGGGCCCGTGAGCCATGGCCGCTGAGCCTGCGCGTCCGGAGCCTGTGCTCCGCAATGCGAGAGGCCACAACAGTGAGAGGCCTGCGTACCGCAAAAAAAAAAAAAAAAGGTAACCTTAACTACAAGACACACTGCCAAAACAACGTTCCCAATCTCACATAATAATAAATAAATATAAATATATTTATCATTATTATTTATATTTTATATTAAATATAAATAATAAATATGGACCTCTAGGTTTAGGAGACCAGTGTGCATCACCCCAACAGCTTCCACAGGGGGTGATCCATAGGCAGCCAAGTCCCTCCCAACTTTCAAGTTAACTTAAAAGAAGGCTTAATGACACTTTTGAAAAATTACACATACTGTTCTGACCAATCAAATCTACTCTGTAAATAAGCCTATAAATGTCTGTCTTCTATATTTTGTTGTATGTTCAAAAGAACCACATGCCATAGCTAGCTGATTATCTTATAGGAAAAAGAAAAATACCACCATGTGTTAGGCTGTACTCATTCTGCAAAAGTTTAACCACATACCTCTGTTAACACATAAGCCAGCTGAGGATGAACTTTAGTTTGTAGAGATGTTCTAGCCACATCTAAGAGGATTTCTCTTTTCATCTCTTTTTAAATTTTAACTTGTTCCAAAACTTCAAGTGCCTTTATTTTTGCAACTTCAAATCCTTCAGCTATTATTCTAGGGTGCAGGCCCTAATACATCAACATAAAACTATAAATTATAAAGTAAGTTATCCAAAGTAAAAGTAACTATCCTTTCCTACTAATAGGTATGTCCAAAAAAATTAATTACCTATATCAATGCCACTAAATATAAGTGTATGTATGTAATTTGTAATCTTTCAGCGCTTCATATTTCAAACAATCTCAAACTTACAGAAAAACTGTTTACAATTTACAACAGTAGAAAAAAACTACAAAAGTTCTTTTTACGTCTGAAAACTATAACACACTGTTGTGTAGTGCTCTTCTGAATGGGCACAGAAGAGAAGACTCCCTGTAATGTAGAGGAAAAGAACCAGCATTGTTTGGAGAAAAACGACAGATAGGCAGCACCTTCACCAAATGTTCAAAGTTAACATCATAGAATGGGACAAACACATACCATGTGCCTCCAGATATGCTGCATTAAGACCAATACAGCACTTCCATGGCACTCCTGCCAAAGGTTCATAACCTGAGTCTGATAATGAGGAAACAGACAAATCCAAACTGAGGGACTTTCTTAAAAAAAAAACAGCCTATTCTCTAAAAGTTAGCAATGTCAGCAATGTCATGAAACACAAAAGATGGCTCGGGAACTATTCCAGCTTAAAGAAGACTAAAGGGGTATGACAACTGAATGGGACAAGTGATGAAATTTGAATAAAACCTGCAAATTAGATAAAAGTACTTATCAATGTGTTAATATTAATTTCCTGTTTCGATCACTATACTGTGGTTATATATGAGAATTCCCTGGTTTAAGAAACATACACTGAAATATTTAGATCATCACATCTGCAACTTATTCTTATACCATTAGAAAAAAATATGTATATTACTATATATATACACATTCCATATATATATATATATTCATGAAAGAGAGAGAAATGTTATTCTTTGGAATATTCTTGCAACTTTTCTGTAGGTCTGACATAAAATTATTTTTTGAAAAAACGCTATTGTTTATTCTGAAAAATAATACATAAACTTATTGAAAGCTGGAACTAGTTCTAATTTATTCCCTTCCTCCATTCCTTTATGTCAGTCCTATAATAACTTTCAAAAGTTGACATTTATTGAGCATTTGTGCCAGGCACTATTCTAAGGAATTTACATGTATTATTTTCGTCCTCTCAACACTATGAAGTGGGTGTTTTTATCATTCCTGTTTCACAGATGAGGAAATTTAGGCTTAAAGGCTTAGATCACCAGGCTAATAAGAGCCAGAGCCAGGATTTAAACCCAAAAGGCCTGACGCCAGAGCCTGTGTTATTAACCATCTTCAAAACATTTCCTCAGCCTAGGACCTCACAACTTCTCACCTAGACTACTAGGAAAACCTTCAGTCTTGACTCCCTTAAAACTGTCCCCCAAATATTTAAAATGCCAATCTGACCATATCACTCATTCATATGTCAGTATGAACATTCTTCTTGGTTAGTATATTACATGCCTATTCACTACTGTCTGCATCACTTTAAACTCCACCAACACCAGACTGCTTGTAGCTCTGCACACACACCAGTTTGCTTCTTTTCTCTGTGCCTTTGCTCATGTTTTTCCTTCTGCCTGGAATGCCGTTCTCCACACCCCTCACTCTTTCATCAGGCTCACTCCTTCTAATCCTAAAGATTCAGCCCAGGCCTATTTCCTCCAGAAAGTGCTTCCTGACTACCTCAGGCTAGTTTAGGATACCCCTCCATCCTCAGTGTTTCTATCCCATCCTGTGCCTAGCTCTGTCACTGCACTGTCACACAGTTTCATAACCATGTCAATGTCTGTTGGCAGCTCCCCTCCCCTAGTTTCTTCCTTCCTAGCCCAACCCTAATTTTGTTTAGGTATCTCTCTTCCTCAGTGCTTCAGAGGAAGCTGACCCTATCCCTAGCTCAAGGGGCGGATCCTAATTAGATTAAGTCAATTTCCCAAAAAACTGTCACTGGTTTGGGATGGAATAAGACCAATGTTGGCCCAATCATATAAAGGAAGGACTTTTATTCTATGGCTGGGTGAATGGTTTTCTCTTGCCCTCTCCTGCTGAGTGTTAGTAAGGAGAAGAGGCAGCCCTGATTTCTTCTGACAGTCTTTCATCCAGGATGGGAATAAGCCTATGATGAAACAGCATTACAAGTGGAAGAGCTAAGAGACAGAAAGGATCTGGGTACTTGATGACTGAATGAATTTTTTAATCAACTAACCCTAGAAGCCTGTTTTATTGCTATATTTCCTGTTATGGGAGATAATTTTTTTTATTGTTTAAGTGACTTTTAGTCAAGTTTCCACTGCTTACAGCTAAAAGCGTCTTGAGATAAGTTGCAGGTACTGAATTAATAGACAGATCCCAATACTAAATGAAACACAAAGTGATCCTTTTAGCACTTTGAAAGGACAGGTTATGCTTTGCTAAAATGGTCCTTGAAAGAGCAAAAATTCAACTGCTTAATTAGAAAAGACAGATAAGTAACGCAAAGAAAACAATACAAATTGAACAAAGGCATGGAGGTAGAAATGTATGTAATGATTTCAGAGGCCAGTGAATGAAGGAGTCTGGCTAGAGAAGACTGTTTATAAAGGGAAATAAAACTAGAAAAGTAGGTAAATTCACAGTGTGGAAAACCTTCATTAATTTTTCTCTAGTTATTTTTTAAAAGGTGCATAATTTGGTTTCAACTTTCTCAGTGATGTTTTCTTTCTTAGGCCATTAGTCATGGGTACATGGCTAATTTTTTAACTTTTATATATATCTCAAATATTTCATTTTTTAAAAAGGTATATAATTTCAATAAAAGGCATTATTTTGACTAAAAATTTCATTATTATTTCCATTTATAATTGTCCAAAAACATCTTGATGAAAATTAACTTTTTCCCTCTAAAATTAAACCATTTTACTAGCAAAAAAATAAATAACTTTTTATTCAAAATAAAGTACCACATGAATGTGCATTCTATGAAATTCTAATATCTCAGAAATGTAAAGGTCAGCTTGTTTTAGTAACTCTCCGATAATTAGGACATTTGAAGTAGTACCATCTCCTGTAATGTCATCCTGGGCTGTTGCTACTTTTGCTATCAAGGACGCTGTTGGGTGTTGAATTTGTTGAAAAAAGCAAGCAAAAGATTAAAAAAGAGAGAGAATGAGATAAAGAAATAGTCCACCAAAAACAAGATAACCTAAGGGTCAACAGTAAAATTAAGAAATGAAATAAGCTTCATTCTATAAGTTCACAAGTTTTATATTATCATACATAATAAATGTCAAAACGAAAAGTTAAAACCTGAGAACTAATGAGGTTTGAACATTTTATAAAAGAGTCTCTGCTTCGAATGCAATGACATTTCCAAAATAAGATTAAATCCTTCAATCTTGAAGATGAATGTATGTACTAAACTTGCAAAGGATTTTTTCCCCATGATTACAAAGAACATAATGCATTGACTTTAAAAAATGTAAGTAATTTGGAAGTATCCCTAAGTTATTATTTGCACTACACAAAGATTTGAAAACAAGCCAACAGACTTTTTTTTTTTCCTAAGGTTTAAACCAACAAGCATATCTCATGACTGCAGTATTTAGCTGATGGCCTTGGTTTAAGGATATACAAATTGTACTATGTTCTCAGCTAAGGCTAATTAAGGTTTATTAAGTCAGCAACATCAGCTCACCATCTCATGGAGCAGTACATTGCCATCTTTGGTGAGTTTCATGTCTCCTGCACCAGAAACAAGCCTGTTCAGAAAACAGTGTTATAAACTTCATATAGCAAGAGCCAAACAAGACACTCCCAGTGTTAGCCACTCCACTATCCTTAATATAAGTAACTGGGTGTGGAAAACTTCCATTATACCATGGGGGATACCACAGTAACTACCACAGAATCACTTCTCCCCAGACGGACTGCTATGGTGATTTCATTCCAAACAGCACATTTACAAGTTTAAGGACAAGAGCAGTCCATGAGTTATGAACAGTGGTTTGGTACCTGGAAGAGTACTTGGAAGTCTACAAACCACAAATTTGTGAACTTTCTGCAGGTTTCTTTTTTTGTGAAATGTTACCATTCATTCACTCAACTAATGTTTTCCCTCACCCCTCACGTTTATTAGATCAAGTTCTGTCAATTCTACAACCTAAATGTCTCTTGAATCTACCCACTCCTCCCCATCTCCACTGTCATCATCTCTAGTCTGGACTACTTGGCATCTTGATATGTCTGAATTTGAATTTACCCTCCACACTGCATTTATCTTTCTAAAAGGCAATGTGATTCAGTCAGTTCCCTCACCAAAAATCCTTCCATGATTTTCATGTTCTCCATCACCTTCAAGATAATATCCAAACTATATAGCAATGACATAAGTTACCTTTCCCAATCTGGGTAATGTCTATTTCTTCTACCTCTTCTATCAAATGAGATCTTGTGGGCAAACCTTGGGGTTCCCTTACTACATCATGTTTGCTTTCGTTTCTGTTGGATTTACACCATTGAGCTTCTCTTGTTCCTGAAGTTACCCTATCTAGAAGTCCTTTACTCCCTTCTCCAACTGGAGAACTCTGATTCGTTTTTCAAGACTGATGAAAAATCCTGTTATTGAGAAGCTTTCCCTTCTCCCTTCTGCCATCAGTTATTAGTCCCTTTCCTCAGTATAATGGTATATATATAATTAGCACATTCATCTCTACCAGAACTCCTTAAGAATAGAAACTGTATCTTGGTCATCTCTGTGTTCCCAGCATCCCAGTCAGTACATACTCAGTGCCCTCTTTTACTGTTAATATTAATTACTTTGCTCATTCCTCTGAGACTGTACCTCTCTCCTCTTACACCTCTTTGCCCTCACTAGTCTCTTTCCCTCTCTTCTAAAGAAAATAATAGTCCTAAGTAAATATATGCTGAAAGAGCGTTCAACTTGCCTAGGGACGCATAGCTAAAGCGGTCCTTGAATTTGAACCCAAGCCTGCCAGATTCCAAAGCCCGTGCCGTCTCCACAACACACTGCCAAGCAAAACCCAAACTCTTAAACAGCAGGGGAGCTAGATGGCTTATGTTTCATATATGACACTAAATGAACTGACTTTCTACTTGCATATGAACCTTAACGAGAAGTTGGGGGGCAGGGAGGAGTCACAGTGAGCCCTTTTTTCGGGTAGCATTTCTCCTCCTCTCCCACCAGACTAGAAATGAGCTCAGGGCAGGAATGAGAACGAGGGAAAGCAGGCCCACAAGTGCGTCCACATCGCTCCCAACTCTTCGTGGAACGTCTGCCTCACAGCGCGCCCCGACACCCAACAAACCCCGACGCCCTAACCGCCGCTCCAACCGCCGTCTCACATTTTCATGGTTCCCTTAGGACCCAAGTTGGTCCGCAGCACATCCTGCAGCCCTCGGGCGGCGCATATATTGAGTGCCAAAGCCGCCTGGGCCTGCGCCACCTCAGCCTTGGAGTTTATGGCTTTTACCTCAGCCCTGGGCAGACAGTAGGAAGAGTCCCCGCCCCGTAAGGCGGCCTCAGCTGCTATTCTGAGGGAAATCCTGGCGCTACGGCTCACGCTCCTGAGCCTCAGCCAATCCGCGCCCGGACAGGAAGTAACGTCATCAGGCGTCGGCGGGACGGAAGCCAGAATCGCCTCGGGTCAGGTCGCAAAGATGGCGTCTTCTGCCTCCGCTCGGCCTGAGGCGGGGAAACGAGTGGTTAATCAGGACGAACTGCGGCGGTTGATGAAGGAGAAGCAGCGTCTGAGCACCAACCGTAAACGGATAGAATCTCCATTCGCGAAGTACAACCGCTTGGGGCAGCTGAGTTGTGCCCTGTGTAACACCCCGGTTAAGAGCGAGCTCCTGTGGCAGACTCACGTCCTGGGAAAGCAGCACCGAGAGAAAGTGGCCGAGCTGAAAGGCGCGAAGGAAGCCACCCAGGGACCGTCCGCCAGCGCAGTGCCTCAGTCCGCCAGCACAGTGCCTCAGTCCGCCAAGAGGAAGGCGCCGGACGCAGAGAGCCAAGACGCCAAAAGAGCGAAGGCCTCCCTGGTGTCTCAAGTACAGCCCTCCACTTCCGCTTTGCCCACCAACTTTGACAAAACCGGAAAGGAGTCCACTAGGGCGACCCTCAGTAAGGCTTCGGGACTCGGTTTACTCCCTGATTATGAAGATGAGGAAGAGGAGGAGGAGAAAGAGGAGGGAGGAGGAGGAGAAGGGAAAAGAGGGGATGTCTGTAAGCATCCGGCCAACGCACAGGGCAAGGAACACTCACTTTCCTCCGCGCGGGAGGCAACCGGTAGTAGGCTGCCAAGCGATTTCTCGGACACAAATCCTCCCAAGGCCCCTTTAATTCCTCATTCAGGGTCAATTGAGAAAGCAGAAATACATGAAAAAGTGGTGGAAAGGAGAGAAAACACCGCGGAAGCATTACCGGAAGGGTTTTTTGATGACCCTGAGATAGATGCGAGGGTACGAAAGGTTGATGCCCCAAAGGATCAGATGGACAAAGAATGGGACGAATTTCAAAAAGCCATGAGACAGGTCAACACTATTTCCGAAGCCATAGTTGCCGAAGAGGATGAGGAGGGACGCTTGGACCGGCAGATTGGGGAGATCGATGAGCAGATAGAGTGTTACCGTCGGGTGGAAAAGCTGCGGAATCGCCAGGATGAGATAAAAAATAAGCTTAAAGAGGTTCTGACCATAAAAGAACTGCAGAAAAAGGAAGAGGAGAATGTTGACAGCGATGATGAGGTAGAACTACAGGATTTGTTGTCCCAGGATTGGAGGGTGAAAGGGACTTTGTTATAGGGTTTCAAAGACCCAAGAGTTCTACATCCTCTACGACTGTATAAAAAGTTCCACCTCTCAATACGATATCGTTTACTCCATGCCTAGAGATTTGGTAACTTGACTGGGTTGTCGAGATACAATGAGCCTGTGAAGATACCGCTTTGGAAAATTGGTGTAAAATATTTTTGAGGTAAAGGTGTTTTTGAAGTTTTCGAAGTATTACACTCAAATGCCCACTTTTTCACACACTTATAGATCCAAAGTTTGGGTTGTAAAAGCTGTAAGCTGTAAATATTGTACATATTAAATATATATTTACTTAAAAATTATGTTTTGAAAGTTATAAGTTAATAGAAGTCAGACCAACAGACAAACTTTTAGATGAAAACCAAGTGTGGCACTTAGAATGTATATGGCTTTTTCTTTTCTGACTCCTAAATCAAACTCAAGAGGGTTGTCGCCGGGAGGGGGGTTGTTTTGTTGTTGTTTTTAAGAACACTACTCATATAAGTCATTCAGGGCTAATCAGATCTCTGTTTCAAAACCGTGTTCCAGGAGAGTATGGTGAAAAATATATGCCAAGTATGACCAACCTCCTTAATCCAAAGTTTCTCTTGATTAAACCAGTGATTCTCGGAGGTAGGTGCACAGGAAGATCTCATACAAAGATTTTTCAAAAGTGTATGTGGATCATCTAGGAAGCTTTTTAAAAAATTCATGTGCTTGTGCCCTACCATTGGAGAGATTCAGTAAATCTGGAGTGAGGCTCAGACACCTGTATTAGTTTTGATGGCTTCCCAGGTTATTCTGTGGGAATGCCCTGGTGGTCCAGTGGTTGGGACTCCGCGCTTCCACTGCAGGTGGCGCGGGTTCTACACCTGGTCGAACTAAGATTCCCGCAAGCCGCGAGGCACGGCCAAAAAATGAAAGATTCCCAGGTTATTCTAGTAAGGCCAAAATTGGAGCACCACTGCCCTAAATCCAGAACCTATTTATAAGTTTCCAGGCTTTGTTTTTTCTTTAAATGACACATTCCGTAAGTTTACTGTCTGCTGCATAAAAGAAATGCTACCTTTTATTTATATCCCATCTAATCTTAAATTTTATTGTTACATATTATAAATTAGGGGTCAGAGTTAACAGGGTCTATCAGTTGTAGGAAGGAGGTATAAGTTGTTTCTCTAGCGGTAACAGTTAGCCTGTGCTGATCATCAATAGTTTAAATCAGTCCTTCTCCCTTTGGAGATAGAGGTATTCAAATAGGAAAAAGGAATTAGCAGTGTTCCGGGGATAGAAATGCATACAGCACATTCAAATAAAAGTGAGTAGTAATAATAATACCTAAGACTTTCTTATAAGCCAGGCAGAGTTCTAAGTGTTTTACATAAGCTCAATCTAGTTTCCCTAAAGCTCAGGTTTTAAGCCCGGGGATAAGGTATAAAAAAGCCTTGAGTGTTAAAAGAATTCTTCCTGTAGGCAATGTGGGCAAAATGGAAGTTTTTGAGCAGAGAGTCATATCTGCAAGAAATATTATGGAAGATTATTTCAGTTGCAGTATATAGAACGGAATGAACATGGGTAGCGGGTAGGAAGCTGGGAGAATACTTGGAAACTAGATTTTAAAAGCAAGGCAACTAAGACTGTAATTAGGTATGTATTGAGAGAAAAGTAATAGTATTGAAAGAATTTCACAGGAAGGGCTAACATTGACTAGAAGTGAAGAAAAGCAGGAGATATATAGATGGAATTCAGGGGTGTTGGGTTTTTCTAGTGTGGGTGCCTAAAAGAAGTTACCTAACGCTTATGGAGCATATTAATTGTCCTGCGGCCTTTGGCAGAAAGGCTTTGCTTTTCTGAGCTGTCCAGTGGATCTGTGATAGCAAATTCAGTTTGATAATAATAAGTTTATCATCTTATTATTTCAGGATGTGAGAAAATACAAGGGGGGTCTTGAATGGTGTGCCAACTTCTACATGGGCCTAAGAGGCTAGGCTAATGATCTAGAGGAGCACTGAATATTAAAAATATAATTCAAGCCACATACGTATATTAAATTTTCTAGTAGCCACATGAAAAAGTAAAAAGAATGTGAAATTAGTTTTATTTTATTTAATCCAATATATCCAAAATATTCCATTAAATTTCAATATGTAATCAATATTTAAGTATTATTAATGAAATATTTTACATTTTGGGGGTTCCTGTAGAAATGTATTTTGAAATCTGGTTGTATCTAATACATCTCAATTTGGACTGGCCGTATTTCAAGTACTCACTAGCTATATGTGACTAACGGCTACCATAAAGGACATCTCAGGTTTAAAGAGAGAGGTATTAGAACTTCCCTCGTGGTCCAGTGGTTAAGACTCAACGCTCCCAATGCAGGGGGCATGGGTTCGATCCCTGGTCGAGGAACTAAAATCCCACATGCTGCACGACACAGTCAAAAAATAAAGAGAACGGTATCCAAGTGGAAAAGTACATGATCAGGAGGTAGTGAGCAGCCCAGTTTAACTGGAGCAGAGTGTTTATTCCTGACAACAGTGGGAGTTATCACTGAAAAGGTAGGTTACGAACCGTTGTGGAGGGCCTTGAATGCCATGCTCTAAGTTAGAGTCGGAACTTTCACTAAGAGTTGAGTATCCTTGAGGTTGTTGAGTCCTTTACTGTAACACAGTTAAAGGATGAGCTTAAGGAATGCCAGGCATATAAACCCCCAGTGGGTTTTTAGGAGGACCCAAAAGCTCTCAAAATCTCCCAATGCTCTGTATCCCAGAGCATGAGTGATGGGTCCCTGATCAAAATCAAGTGAAACCTTGTTGTATCTGAGATTGATGTAGATAGCTACACAGGCTGTTGAATCCTTCTTGTTCCTCCGTGCCTTAGAGAGCTCCTTTGTACCTCTTAGAGCTGTGGGAAATAGGTTTCAACATTAGACTGCAAGTACCACCAGTGTTTCCAAATTGTAAGAATTGGTCCCAGGGATTTCTTCCTGTCACTTGTTCTGTTTTTAGAGAACCCCCCTACACACAATTCAGCCAACATTTACAGGCATACCTCAAAGGTATTGCAGGTTCCATTCCAGACCACCACAATAAAGTGAATATTGCAATAAAGCAAGCCACACAAATTCTTTGGTTTCCCAGTGCATAGAAAACTTATGTTTACACTATATTTTAGTCTATTAAGTGTGTAATAGCATTATGTCTTAAAAAAAGTACATACCTTAATTTAAAAATTCTTGTATAGAAAATGCTTACCATCATCTGAGCCTTCAGTGATCATAGTAGTAACATCAAAGATCACTGATCATAGATGACCATAACAAATATGATAATAGGGGGAAAAGTTTGAAATATTGTGAGAATTATCAAAATGTGACAGAGACACGAAATGAGCAAATGCTGTTGGAAAAATGGCACCAATAGAGTAGCTCAACGCAGAGTTGCCACAAACCTTCAGTTTGTAAAAACAAATGTAGCACTATGAAGTGCAATAAAATGAGGTATGCCTATGTGTTAGAATTATTGTAAATACTACAAAGGCATGAGGTATGCCTATGTGTTAGAATTATTGTAAATACTACAAAAAGTAATTATGTAAATACTACCTCTCACCCAAATACAGTTCCCCTAACTTGGAGGAAAAAAAAAAAATGCTGATCTCATAACTAGCCTTCAGATATTCATTTGTCCAGTGCCTTACAGTTTACAAAATGCTTTCACATAGATCTCATTTAATGATGGAAGTAATGACTACTTTTTACACACCAGGGAACAAAATAAGATGCTATGGAATTAAAATTGCAGGGAAAAGAGTATAACTTAGACCTAACACTTTTAATGTAACACTCACTAGATTAGTATGGAGTAATGGAAAGAACAAGGGAATTGGCACGAGAAAAGACAGGTTTAAGTTCCCACTCTACTTTTTTTTTTTAATGAAGTATAGTTGATTTACAATATTGTGTTAATTTCTGCTGTACAGCAAAGTGATTCAGTTATATACTTTTTCATATTATTTTCCATTATGGTTCATCACAGGATATTTAATATAGTTCCCCCTACTCTACTTTTTAATGTCTAGTGATCTTGGGCAAGCCGCCTCTCTGAAACTTAAGTTTGCTCTACTATAAAATGATGATGATACCCCACAGGGTGTAGTGAGAGTCTAATAATACATGCATGTGAAAGGGGTTTATAAACTGAAGTTTATAAATAAAGCAATAAATAAAGCAATAAAAGTGCTAGTGGAATCTGGTCTAACTCTGCCCCAGCTACTACTAGCTTGCTAGCTTGATCTTAGGCTAATAATTTAATGCCCCTTAATTCCATCTTTAGAATGAGGGAATTAGAGCATATGATTTTTCTTTTTTTTTTTGAGATTTCTTTTAACTCCAAATAATTTTGCCATGAGACAAGTGGCGTCTCACCTTTTAAAGATTTTAAAAGTCATTCAGTTGACTATCTGGAGACAGAGATGGCCAAAGTATTGTTACTTTTACTTGCACGATTTGCCCAGGATAGTCCCAGTTGTCTTGGTTTAATTATGAATGGTGTCCCGTTTCACTCTCAACACTGTTCCTTTTTGGAGATACAGATATAGGTATATACTCACCTACCTAAAAGTTTGATATGAGGAAAAACCACTTCTAATGAATGGAAGGTCTTAATGGAAATAGTATGTTTCCTATTAATGATGCACCCATTGGCTAGCTACTTGGCTGGATGTTGTGTTAGGGGATTTGAGTCAATACATATTGTGGGTAGGAATTATGGCTAGATAGATGACCTTAGGTTGGTTTGTTGTCTTTTTTTTTTTTTTTTTTTTTTTTGGCTGTGTTGGGTCTTCGTTGCTGCACACGGGCTTCTCACTGCTGTGGCTTCTCTTGTTGCGGAGCATGGGCTCTCGGTGAGCAGGTTTAGTAGTTGTGGCTCGCAGGCTCTAGAGCACAGGCTCAGTAGTTGTGGAGTATGGGCTTGGTTGCTCTGCAGCATGTGGGATCTTCCCGGACCAGGGCTCGAACCCGTGTCCCCTGCATTGGCAGGCAGATTCTTAACCTCTGCACCACCAGGGAAGTCCCCCCTTAGGTTGCTTTTTAATACTGAGAGTCTAGTAGCCTGTACGATACCAGGAATTTAGATGCTTTAAATTTGAACAGGAAAAAAAAATTCCTGTAACCCTGTGTTCTATTTTCTATCTGCATTTCCTCCCTCAGCGACCTCATTCATTCCCATGGGTTTAAATATCACCCATACTGCAGCAAATGAATGGACCTAGAGATTATCATACTAAGTGAAGTAAGTCAGACAGAGAAAGACAAATATTATCATACTAAGTGAAGTAAGTCAGATAGAAAAACAAATATCATGATATCGCTTATACGTGGAATCTTAAAAAATAATACAAATGAACTTATTTACAAAACAAATAGAGCCACAGATGTAGAAAACAAACATGTTTATGGGGGGGAAGGGATAAATCGGGAGATTGGGATTGACAAAGACACACTACTATCTATAAATTAGATAACTAATAAGTTATCTAACTGTATAGCACAGGGAACTCTACTCAATACTCTGCAATGACCTATATGGGAAAAGAATCTAAAAAAGAGTGGATAGATGTATATGTATAACTGATTCACT